TCTAACAATTACTACCTATGGCTATTGTCTAAAAATATATTGGAAAAGTAGCGGTTAAGAGTGTTTGGCCAGTAACCGAAAGGTAGCTGGTTCGAATCCCCGAGCCGACTAGGTGAACAATCTGTTGATGTGCCCTTGAGCAAGGCACTTAACCCTAATTTATCCTGTAAGTCGCTCTGGATAAGAGCATCTGCTAAAATGTAAATGTATATATTTGGGATATTTTTTGTTTGAACGCAGCATAAAAAAAAAAAATGAATGTTGTTGTTTTTCTATTACATTGCAGGTAGACTGTAATGAGTGTTCATTTCTAACATTTTCTCCATTGCAGGAAGATATTTGAGGAGAAAAGTAAAACAGAGGAGGTGAAGACAGCCCTGTCAGAGGTGACCACAGAACACAACGATGTCACACAGACAAACGCCAGCGCCAGCGACAGCAAAGCATGATTGGGCAGCCTCAGCCCATCCAAAATGGCGGCAGCAGCAACACTCATTACTGTCTGCAGGAGTTTTTATTTCCAGTGCCCTTACTGCATTTCCAGAAGAACAACAACATGTGTTTGTGCAATAGAGTTCATTAGAGCACGATCTGATTGTGCAAAGATTTCTATTCTCATGTATGATTTGTTTCTCTACACCCATGGAACACTGAATAACACCATTTGAGTGATCTCAAGTGGTATAGGAGACAAAATTCTAGTTTTTACAAGTACTCAGAGTTATAATTGTTTTATTCAGGAACATAACACTGAGTGTACACAACATTAGGAACACCTTCCTAATATTGAGTTGCTCCCCCTTTTGCCCTCAGAACAGCCTCAATTGGTCGGGGCATGGACTCTACAAGGTGTCGAAAGTGTTCCACAGGGATGTTGACTCCAATGCTTCCCACAGTTGTGTCAAGTTGGCTGGATGTCCTTTGGGTGGTGGACCATTCTTGATACACATAGGAAACTGTTGAGTGTGAAAAACCCAGCAGTTTTGCAGTTCTTGACACACTCAAACCGGTGCGCCTGGCACCTACTACCATACCCCATTCAAAGGCACTTACATATTTTGCCTTGCCTATTCACCATCTGAATGGCACACATACACAATCCATGTCTCAACTGTCTCAAGGCTTAAAAATCCTTCTTTAACCTGTCTCCTCCACTTAATCTACACTGATTGAAGTAGATTTAACAAGTGACATCAATAAGAGATCATAGCTTTCACCTGGATTCACCTGGTCAGTCTGTCACAGAAAGAGCATAATGTTTTGTACACTCAGTGTATATATATATATATATATATATACAGTGCCTTGCAAAAGTATTCATCCCCCTTGGCATTTTTCCTATTTTGTTGCATTACAACCTGTAATTTAAATGGATTTTTATTTGGATTTTATCTAATGGACATACACAAAATAGTCTAAATTGGTGAAGTGAAATGAAAAAAATAACTTGTTTCAAGAAATTATAAAAAGTAAATAACGGAAAAATGGTGCGTGCATATGTATTCACCCCCTTTGCTATGAAGCCCCAAAATAAGATCTGGTGCAACCAACCTTCAGAAGTCACATAATTAGTTAAATAAAGTCCACCTGTGTGCAATCTAAGTGTCACATGAGCTCAGTATATATACACCTGTTCTGAAAGGCCCCAGAGTCTGCAACACCACTAAGCAAGGGGCACCACCAAGCTAGCGGCACCATGAAGACCAAGGAGCTCTCCAAACAGTTCAGGGACAAAGTTGTGGAGTACAGATCAGGGTTGGGTTATAAAAAAATATCAGAAACTTTGAACATCCCACGGAGCACCATTAAATCCATTATTAAAAAATTGAAAGAATATGGCATCACAACAAACCTGCCAAGAGAGGGCCGCCCACCAAAACTCACGGACCAGGCAAGGAGGGCATTAATCAGAGAGGCAACAAAAACACCAAAGATAACCCTGAAGGAGCTGCAAAGCTCCACAGCGGAGATTGGAGTATCTGTTCATAGGACCACTTTAAGCCATACACTCCACAGAGCTGGGCTTTACGGAAGAGTGGCAAGAAAAAAGCCATTGCTTAAAGAAAAAAATAAGCAAACACGTTTGGTGTTTGCCAAAAGGCATGTGGGAGACTCCCCAAACATATGGGAGAAGGTACTCTGGTCAGATGAGACTAAAATTGAGCTTTTTGGCCATCAAGGAAAACGCTATGTCTGGCGCAAACCCAACACCTCTCATCACCCCGAGAACACCATCCCCACAGTGAAGCATGGTGGTGGCAGCATCATGCTGTGGGGATGTTTTTCAACAGCAGGGACTGGGAAACTGGTCAGAATTGAAGGAATGATGGATGGTGCTACAGGGAAATTCTTGAGGGAAACCTGTTTCAGTCTTCCAGATAATTGAGACTGGGACGGAGGTTCACCTTCCAGCATGACAATGACCCTAAGCATACTGCTAAAGCAACACTTGTGTTGTTTAAGGGGAAACATTTAAATGTCTTGGAAGGGCCTAGTCAAAGCCCAGACCTCTATTCAACAGAATCTGTGGTATGACTTAAAGATTGCTGTACACCAGCGGAACCCATCCAACTTGAAGGAGCTGGAGCAGTTTTGCCTTGAAGAATGGGCAAAAATCCCAGTGGCTAGATGTGCCAAGCTTATAGAGACATACCCCAAGAGACTTGCAGCTGTAATTGCTGCAAAAGGTGACTCTACAAAGTATTGACTTTGGGGGGGTGAATAGTTTTGCACGCTCAAGTTTTCTGTTTTTTTGTCTTATTTCTTGTTTGTTTCACAATAAAAAATACTTTTGCAAGCCACTGTATATATGAAGAGATTGACTATGTAGACATTATTTTATTATTTCCATGTTACATTGTTCAAATGTTTGAGGGCTAGGCTCATCGAATAGGCTCATCGAATAGTTTGTTTGCATGTCTGATTTGCAAATGGTTCTTCATGTTTTGTTTGAAACATTTTATTGTTTTACTCTTTATGTCTGTATTAGGGTGGGTTATCATACAGATTGTTTCAAACATAAGTTAATTGATTTTGTTAACACCACTTCTCCAAGGCGAGCTCTGAGTGACAGAGACAGACATAAAGGAAGGTAGGGTGATCTCTGACCAGCTAGCAGCCCACAATGCTGGGAATGCTTGGGTTTCGGAGAAAGTCATATTATCATAGACATGTATCAGGAGTTATCATATGAGATGTCTTCAACTCGCCTTACCTGGGGGTTCATGAAATGAATACTATATTGTGCTAAATGGAGAAGTGCGTATTGAGCAGCTAATATTGTACCGGTATTCACAATGGAACACAAGATAGAACAAAGCGCAACAGATCCAGTGGTTCTCACAGAGAAAGGTTATAGAGAAGAACTTTAAGGGATCTAAGTGAATGTCTCATCATGACCCAAGCACCACCACCTCCTTGTTTTAACATCAACTATGATGAGTATCTTATCATATTCACAAGAAAACAAAGAAAATGCCTGACTTTTATCATTTAAAATCTTGTTTTTGAAGCAAAACTCTTTAAAAGCATTTTTGTACTCTCTAAATGGAAAGGTTTCTTTTCCACTCCTGACTGCGAGCTTGTGCACTGTGACTGTGTCAATAGATTGTCTTGTCGTCACTTTCAATAATATCTGCATAGCTTTGTCGTGAAAGGTTTACCTGTATATTCTTTTTATATTGTATCTATAAAAATATTACAGCAAATGTATATATAGAGTTGTTGATATCTCCCATCACACTGAGGTCTAGTGCGGCCTGTAACACAGCCTGGGGAGATATGTTGAGTTTTGGCATGATGAATTCAAACTGTACTTTATAAAATATGTGTAACAGAAACCCAAACAGACATGCCTATGTTTGTTTAGGCAATGCGAATTTCATATTGAGTTATGCGATGGAGTTATCAGAATGAGGTCTGTTCAAGCCTATAAAACCCATTTTTTAGTCTCCAGTTGTTGTTCAAGTGTTGTGTAATGTTGTCTTTGAATTGATTTTGTTTTTGTACAATAGCAGGCATCATGAGCTTGCTGCCTGTTGAGTTTATAATACCAGAGACAGAGGGCAGGGTGGTAATCTGACAACAGAAGAAAACAACACTCCAAAATGTTAATACTGTATGTTGTACTGCCACTTTCATGTAAACAATCAGTCCCCTCAGTACATCAGTGGAATAGGACAGTCTTGCCAGAACCTGTACAATACAACCCTCTGCTGTTGTCATCCTCCTACCCCGTCCCCTGTCTCTGGAGCCTCTTGGTTTTACTGGGTCAAACCCAGTGCACCTTTCTGCTCTCAGTGGTGTACAGTCTGAGTACTAACCCATTTACAAAATAAAACAAGGTTTTGGAACCTCATGCTGTTTACCATTGTTTTCATGGCAAATCATTGTTTTCTACAAAACAATTATATTATATTATTGTTCTGCCCTTTTCCTTCTGGAGTTTGTAGATGTAATATACAGTAGTGAGCACTAGATGGCATGAAATTACCATTTACAAATGTAGTATTTTTTGCAAGATTATATCAATGTCCTTCTTGATGATAAGGTAATATATCAATTAACTCATTGATTAAGGTTATTAAATGATTACCTTCTAGATTAGGTGAAGAGATAGGAGAATGTTAGATGGTAATAGAGTATAATAATGTGTTGGTGTTGATGGATTCCCTGAGTCCCTGAGTTAGTGACTCCTGTTGCTCCTCTGTCTAGACTAGAGTGACTAATAGAATTGTAATGAGCCAAAGTCAGATCCATATAACCCAGACAGACCTACCAGTATTTTTTAAATCTGAATTTATACTATTTAAGTAAGTGATGAATAATGGTTAATTGAACTAGTTGGTTTCAATTGCATCTGGATCTAAAGGCTCCTGACTTTTATTCACCCTGCCCAAAATCCAGGTCATGAGGACTGCTGCCCTGTAGATGTCTCTCTTTCCAGCCTTGATAGAACCGGGAACAGAGGACAATCATTCAAAGCTGTGACGTCGCCTGGGTGATGATTTGCCTACTTGCGGTGGGAATGAGTTTGGAGCAGGTTCTGTGAATTGCCTTGCCATGATGTTGCCTGAATGATAATGCAATCGGCTGAGTGAGGACGTAACAGGCCACTAAGGTAAGGGCAATGATAGAGCAAACTAGTTGTCTTTCTATGTTCTATATTGCAAGAATACTGCCGTTGCACAGGTGATTCGAATATACTTTCTGAAATAGCTATTCTTCACCCTGTTTGCAATTCATGGACAATGCTGAATTATTAATTTACATATTTACTAAATGGCAATCCCTTTGTGTTTGTTTTTGTATACATGGTCGCATATCCTAAAACGTTATTGAGCCTAAAGTTTTCCCGCAGTTACAGTAACATGGATATAAAAACTTGACTGCTTAGTATGCCCGCCATGCGATCAGACAGAGAGAGAGACGTGACTGAGCCGTGCTGTGCGGTGCGCCCAGGCTATGTGTTGCTCCTATGCAGTTGAACAATATGGCCATAGTGAATTATTTCATGTTTAGAGCGTTAGTGACTAAATCATTTTACATGTTGGTGTTTTGGGGTAGGAATTCGTTATTCCATCAGAGCGCAGTTTGCACCTGATGCGCTCTGTTGCGGAACTACCCAGGCTGAGTGTTAGCATTATCTATGAAGTGTATATGGATCAGTGGTCACTGAAGGTCAGAAAACATAACAAATAATCATGTAACTATTTATCGTAGCATTTATGTATATGAGCTTAGGCTATATAGGCTAAATTGGTTGAGGAGTGGCCACCACTACAAACATTAGAAAAGCGCTCCAGATGTGTGTGATTGTCAACGGTCTTTTTCACCTTTCTAAATCTAAACGGGATTTGCATTCGGTTCAAATGTAATCGTGGTTTGATAGCAGTAACTTATTAGATCTATTTATTCAGGAGTGTTCCCGCTGTAGCCTATCCATAATCTTTTACGCAATCCATATGCGCCCATATCAGCCAGCGGCTCAGCGCAGCGCAAGGAGAGTATAGACATTATAGTGCATGCATGCGTGTGTGACCTGTTGCAGTAATACAGTTAAAGTACGTGTGTACTAATACATTTACAGCACACGTGATAGTGTATGGCTCTGTCCACTTGCAGCCTATGACATATAGGCATATACAGTACCTGACCAGTCTCAAACAGACCTCATGGGGCACTGCTGGATTTGGGGAGCCTATAATTCCCCTGTGTTTCCTTCCAGTGTATTTACTTATACTGACACATTACTATACAATATCAACATTTCAGCTCAGTCCCTGACATTTGGTCAGCCAATGCTAAACTATTATTACTTTTCCCTCTGCAATTGTTGAACATGCAAGATATTGACATAAGACATCATTCTAATGTTTTTTGAAAAACCATGGCAATCAACCAGACCAATCTTATTCACTATTAATTGTACTGTCATTACCATGATCTGAGATTGAATATTTAATGTGGTTTCTCCTCTATCTCCCTCTAGACTTATAAACACACTGAAGGAAGGCAGGTGGGATAGAACACACCTCATGCGTGGGCTCAGAGAGGGTCCGAGGCCGTACGGATCATCTGACTAACATGGGTGTTCTCCAGCTCCACAACCCCACCCTCCCCGCCACGCTCCTGCAGAGGGCCAATCATATGCGTCTGTCGGGAACGCTGTGTGACGTCATCATCACAGTGGACGGCCAGGAGTTCCCGGCCCACCGCACCGTCCTGGCCTGCACCAGCAAGATGTTTGAGATCTTGTTCCATCGCAGCAGCCTGCACTACGCCCTCGACTTCCTCTCCCCCAAGACCTTCCAGCAGATCCTTGAGTACGCCTACACGGCCTCCCTGCAGGCCACGGACGAGGACCTGGACGACCTGCTGTACGCCGCTGAGATCCTGGAGATCGAGTACCTGGAGGAGCAGTGCCTCAAGGTCCTGGAGACCATCCAGTCAGAAGAGAAGCAGGACCACCTGAGTCTGAGTGGGAGGAACCAAGGGTCTGGAGAGAGCGAACATGGCAGAGCAAGGCACTGGAGGAACATGCTAATCTCCAAGAAGCATTCCATGCAGGAGGGTGGTATCAACCCCACCGCCCTGCACCACCTGGCACTGTACCACATGACTGACAGGAGTCCCTCTGGGCCAGGGGGACTACCTATGGGGCTCCCTGTAGCCAGCCCCACACAAGATGGAGGGGTTAGTCTGGAGGGCCTGGGTCAGTCTCCACTGCAGTACAGCCTCAATGGAGCCCAGGATCCCTCCCTTCCTCTGGCTAAGAGGATAAAGACAGAGGACAATAACATGCAGGTGGATGAAGCCAATGGCTACGAAGGCCGGTCCTCCAGCGGAGGGGAGGGGGGATGTGAGTCGGATCAGCCCAGAGATGAGGGCTCGGGGACCCCCCAAAGAAGCAGTGTCATCACCTCAGCTAGAGAGCAGCACTCGGGCCAAGAGGAGGGGGGCATAGTGGGGAACAACTCTCCTCTGGACAGTTTCCCTGGTCTGGCTGAGAAACACATGGCCTCCCTCTACTCCTCTATGCCCTCCAACCACGTAGGGGAGGTGGGGCAGCCTATGCCCATGTCGGTGGCTCCTTCCCTGGCTATGTCCCTGGACCTGAGGGCCTACGGGGGACTGCTGCCCCAGGGCCTGCTCCACAGGGAGATCCTCAGCAGGCTGGGCCAGTTTGCAGCAGGGATGAGGAGGGAGGGCCAGAGTCAGAGTCAGAGCTGTAGGGACTGTGGTCTCCAGCTGCACGACAGAGAGGCCATGGAGCAACACAGGTAGAGTACAGAGTACAGCTGGCTGCATACACCACTCACTGTTATATCTCTAGGGGGTCTTTAGGTATTATGGATCTCTAGGTATCATTGAAGGAAGTCTTTTGTCAGAGAGTGCCGGCAAGTAAATGTAGTTGAATGTGGAATGAGTGAAACAGCATTTATTTTAGCAGAATGCAGATCATTATAATGCTGTGATAATTTAGTAAACGCTGTTAATCAAAGTAAAATGCAATTAGATTATGTCACCCCTTCACCAACAAAGTGTTCTGTCTGGTCACTATACACTAGGAGGTCTGTGAGAGACAGACAGAGGGATGTGGCATATGTGTGTGTGTGTGTGTGGTGAGTCTGGAGTCTTCATGCTAAATGGTTAATTGTTTTGTTAGGATGTGAAGGAAGAGATAAATTGTAGTGCACAACTTCTAATTTAAAGGTTGGCGATTTATTTTAGTCTTCATTAACTTTCAACACATTAAAAGACTTCAAAGGAAAGAGCTGGGAGCAACCATATTAAATCTGTTAATTTGTTTTAAAAAGACACCTGCTCTTGTGCCTGAATATAGGGACTTCATAAGAGGAATGAAATAGGTCTTTGTTAGCCGCTTAGCAGACATGGTGTGGCATAATGAAGCTGTTTACAAAGTTGCTAAATTTTTCACAATTCTGTATGATTATTTTTTATTAGATGTGCCTCATACTTAAGACTGTCTCTGAGTGCATTTGGTATGCATTCCTTTGCATTAGTGAGGAGCGAGAGTAGCCTGCCTCTACAGGGATCTGCAGGCTTCTCAGCATGTGAAGGCAGAAGCCACTGGTTGACAGTTATGCTGCTGCCTCATGACTTGGTGGGTTTAAAGAGGTTGGTGGGTTTAGACCAGTGGTTGGTGGGTTTAGAGGTTGGTGGGTTTAGACTAGAGGTTGGTGGGTTTAGACTAGAGGTTGGTGAGTTTAGACTAGAGGTTGGTGAGTTTAGACTAGAGGTTGGTGGGTTTAGACTAGAGGTTGGTGGGTTTAGATTAGAGGTTGGTGGGTTTAGACTAGAGGTTGGTGGGTTTAGACTAGAGGTTGGTGGGTTTAGAGGTTGGTGGGTTTAGACTAGAGGTTGGTGGGTTTAGACTAGAGGTTGGTGAGTTTAGACTAGAGGTTGGTGAGTTTAGACTAGAGGTTGGTGGGTTTAGACTAGAGGTTGGTGGGTTTAGATTAGAGGTTGGTGGGTTTAGATTAGAGGTTGGTGGGTTTAGACTAGAGGTTGGTGGGTTTAGACTAGAGGTTGGTGAGTATAAAGAGGTTGGTGGGTTTAGATTAGAGGTTGGTGGGTATAGACTAGAGGTTGGTGGGTTTAGACTAGAGGTTGGTGAGTATAAAGAGGTTGGTGGGTTTCGACTAGAGGTTGGTGGGTTTAAAGAGGTTGGTGTGTTTAAAGCGGTTGGTGGGTTTAGACTAGAGGTTGGTGGGTTTAAAGAGGTTGGTGGGTTTAAAGAGGTTGGTGGGTTTATAACTTGTAAGATTATTGTAAACTCATGAGTCACATTTCCCATAACTCTGTTGATGACATGTACTACACCTGCTCAGCGCTAGCTTGTGAGCAGTGCTACTCATGACATTACAACAGCTACGGACAGGTCCTCAGGTCCCATAGCTAAATCAATCAACCAAGCCATCATCAGTGTCAGAGCACCAACCTCCACCCTTTCTCCTCCCATACAGATGGCGGACATTTCAGGCCTGTGCCACTTCAGTGTTTGATGACACAGAACATCCAGCAGGGTATTAGCTAGCCAATGATCAGTCATGGAGATAGGCAGAGGTTGGAAGGTTGGAGGAGTCAGTCCTTCTGGTGACTGCTGATGTTGTAATGAATCTAGTCCATGTCAGGAGACAGGTCACTGAGCATCATCCACCTCAGTCACATTGACATTTCTGAGTGGAGAGAACAGGGAGAGATACGTTTGTTAGGGCATAGCACACCTTTTCAGAACTTTAACTTCAGTGAATTATTTAAAGGAGAAAGCTTGGAATCATATGAGGTGTCTTTGGTTTTTAGTGGATCTCTTCTCTAGTTTTCTATTGAAAATCCTATTGTTTTTCTATTCTATTTTGATGTAGCAGGTGTTCTTGATTTAATTGAAGAGAGTTTTGTTGACATACTATTTTATTGGTACTATATATGAGATAATCTGTTCTTTGACTGTGGTCTGTTTATAACTGTCTAGAGGACTGCTGTCTGACCATTGTGCTGCAGAGGGGAATATGAGGATAACAGTGCAGATGATGCCTCGCATGGCTGGACGTGTGTGATATGATATCATGGGGTTTGCTGCAGGCAGAGCGGCGAGTCAGTTTTTAAAAAAATTTGTACTAGTTACGAGAGGAGTGTGTGTCTGGATTTCCATGTGTACGTGTGTATCTGTGTTTTTGTCTGTGTCTGTATGTGTACGTGTGTCTGTGTCTGTGTTTGTGTCTGTATGTGTACGCTTGTCTGTGTTTGTGTCTGTGTCTGTATGTGTACGTGTGTCTGTGTTTTTGTCTGTGTCTGTGTCTGTATGTGTACGTGTGTCTGTGTTTGTGTCTGTATGTGTACGTGTGTCTGTGTTTGTGTCTGTGTCTGTATGTGAATGTGTGACTGTGTTTGTGTCTGTGTCTATATGTGTACATGTGTCTGTGTTTTTGTCTGTGTCTGTATGTGTATGCGTGTCTGTGTTTGTGTCTGTGTCTGTATGTGTACGTGTGTCTGTGTTTGTGTCTGTGTCTGTATGTGTACGTGTGTCTGTGTTTGTGTCTGTATGTGTACGTGTGTCTGTGTTTTTGTCTGTGTCTGTATGTGTATGTGTGTCTGTGTTTGTGTCTGTGTCTGTATGTGTATGCGTGTCATGTCTGTGTTTGTGTCTGTGTCTGTATGTGTACGTGTGTCTGTGTTTGTGTCTGTATGTGTACGTGTGTCTGTGTTTGTGTCTGTGTCTGTATGTGAATGTGTGACTGTGTTTGTGTCTGTGTCTATATGTGTACATGTGTCTGTGTTTTTGTCTGTGTCTGTATGTGTATGCGTGTCTGTGTTTGTGTCTGTGTCTGTATGTGTACGTGTGTCTGTGTTTGTGTCTGTATGTGTACGTGTGTCTGTGTTTTTGTCTGTGTCTGTATGTGTATGTGTGTCTGTGTTTGTGTCTGTGTCTGTATGTGTATGCGTGTCATGTCTGTGTTTGTGTCTGTGTCTGTATGTGTACGTGTGTCTGTGTTTGTGTTTGTGTCTGTATGTGTACGCGTGTCTGTGTTTGTGTCTGTGTATGTATGTGTACATGTGTCTGTGTTTGTGTCTGTGTCTGTATGTGTATGTGTGTCTGTGTTTGTGTCTGTGTCTGTATGTATATGCGTGTCGTGTCTGTGTTTGTGTCTGTGTCTGAATGTGTACGTGTTTCTGTGTCTGTGTTTGTGTCTGTATGTGTACGCGTGTCTGTGTTTGTGTCTGTTATCTGTATGTGTACGTGTGTCTGTGTTTTTGTCTGTGTCTGTATGTGTACGTGTGTCTGTGTCTGTGTCTGTATGTGTACGTGCTTCTGTGTTTGTGTCTGTGTCTGTATGTGTACGTGCTTCTGTGTTTGTGTCTGTGTCTGTATGTCAAATCAAATCAAATCAAATCAAATTTTATTGGTCACATGCGCCGAATACAACAGGTGCAGACATTACAGTGAAATGCTTACTTACAGCCCTTAACCAACAGTGCATTTATTTTTTAACAAAAAAAGTAAAAATAAAACAACAACAAAAAAAGTGTTGAGAAAAAAAGAGCAGAAGTAAAATAAAATAACAGTAGGGAGGCTATATATACAGGGGGGTACCGGTGCAGAGTCAATGTGCGGGGGCACCGGCTAGTTGAGATAGTTGAAGTAATATGTACATGTGGGTAGAGTTAAAGTGACTATGCATAAATAATTAACAGAGTAGCAGCAGCGTAAAAAGGATGGGGTGGGGGGGGCAGTGCAAATAGTCCGGGTAGCCATGATTAGCTGTTCAGGAGTCTTATGGCTTGGGGGTAGAAGCTGTTGAGAAGTCTTTTGGACCTAGACTTGGCACTCCGGTACCGCTTGCCGTGCGGGAGCAGGGAGAACAGTCTATGACTATGGTGGCTGGAGTCTTTGACAATTTTGAGGGCCTTCCTCTGACACCGCCTGGTATAGAGGTCCTGGATGGCAGGAAGCTTGGCCCCAGTGATGTACTGGGCCGTACACACTACCCTCTGTAGTGCCTTGCGGTCGGAGGCCAAGCAGTTGCCATACCAGGCGGTGATGCAACCAGTCAGGATGCTCTCGATGGTGCAGCTGTAGAATTTTTTGAGGATCTGAGGACCCATGCCAAATCTTTTCAGTCTCCTGAGGGGGAATAGGCTTTGTCGTGCCCTCTTCATGACTGTCTTGGTGTGTTTGGACCATGATAGTTCGTTGGTGATGTGGACACCAAGGAACTTGAAGCTCTCAACCTGTTCCACTACAGCCCCGTCGATGAGAATGGGGGCGTGCTCAGTCCTCTTTTTTTTCCTGTAGTCCACAATCATCTCCTTTGTCTTGGTCACGTTGAGGGAGAGGTTGTTGTCCTGGCACCACACGGCCAGGTCTCTGACCTCCTCCCTATAGGCTGTCTCATCGTTGTCGGTGATCAGGCCTACCACTGTTGTGTCGTCGGCAAACTTAATGATGGTGTTGGAGTCGTGCCTGGCCATGCAGTCATGGGTGAACAGAGAGTACAGGAGGGGACTGAGCACGCACCCCTGAGGGGCCCCCGTGTTGAGGATCAGTGTGGCAGATGTGTTGTTACCTACCCTTAACACCTGGGGGCGGCCCGTCAGGAAGTCCAGGATCCAGTTGCAGAGGGAGGTGTTTAGTCCCAGGATCCTTAGCTTAGTGATGAGCTTAGAGGGCACTATGGTGTTGAATGCTGAGCTGTAGTCAATGAATAGCATTCTCACATAGGTGTTCCTCTTGTCCAGGTGGGAAAGGGCAGTTTGGAGTGCAATAGAGATTGCATCATCTGTGGATCTGTTGGGGCGGTATGCAAATTGGAGTGGGTTTAGGGTTTCTGGGATAATGCTGTTGATGTGAGCCATGACCAGCCTTTCAAAGCACTTCATGGCTACAGACGTCAGTGCTACGGGTCGGTAGTCATTTAGGCAGATTATCTTAGAGTCCTTGGGCACGGGGACTATGGTGGTCTGCTTGAAACATGTTGGTATTACAGACTCAGTCAGGGACATGTTGAAAATGTCAGTGAAGACACTTGCCAGTTGGTCAGCACATGCTCGGAGTACACGTCCTGGTAATCCGTCTGGCCCTGCGGCCTTGTGAATGTTGACCTGCTTAAAAGTCTTACTCACATCGGCTACGGAGAGCGTGATCACATAGTCATCCGGAACAGCTGGTGCTCTCATGCATGCTTCAGTGTTGCTTGCCTCGAAGCGAGCATAGAAGTGGTTTAGCTCGTCTGGTAGGCTTGTGTCACTGGGCAGCTCGCGGCTGTGCTTCCCTTTGTAGTCTGTAATAGTTTTCAAGCCCTGCCACATCCGACGAGCGTCAGAGCCAGTGTAGTACGATTCAATCTTAGCCCTGTATTGACTCTTTGCCTGTTTGATGGTTCGTCGGAGGGCATAGCGGGATTTCTTATAAGCGGCCGGGTTAGAGTCCCGTTCCTTGAAAGCGGCAGCTCTACCCTTTAGCTCAGTGCGGATGTTTCCTGTAATCCATGGCTTCTGGTTGGGGTATGTACGTACGGTCACTGTGGGGACGACATCATCGATGCACTTATTGATGAAGCCAGTGACTGATGTGGTGTACTCCTCAATGCTGTCTGAAGAATCCCGGAACATGTTCCAGTCTGTGCTAGCAAAACAGTCCTGTAGCTTAGCATCTGCGTCATCTGACCACTTTTTTATTAACCGAGTCACTGGTGCTTCCTGCTTTAGTTTTTGCTTATAAGCAGGAATCAGGAGGATAGAGTTATGGTCAGATTTGCCAAATGGAGGGCGAGGGAGAGCTTTGTATGCGTCTCTGTGTGTGGAGTAAAGGTGGTCTAGAGTTTTTTTTCCTCTGGTTGCACATTTAACATGCTGGTAGAAATTAGGTAGAACGGATTTAAGTTTCCCTGCATTAAAGTCCCCGGCCACTAGTGTACGTGTGTCTGTGTTTTTGTCTGTGTCTGTATGTGTACGTGTGTCTGTGTTTGTGTCTGTATGTGTACGTGTGTCTGTGTTTGTGTCTGTGTCTGTATGTGTACGTGTGTCTGTGTTTGTGTCTGTATGTGTACGTGTGTCTGTGTTTTTGTCTGTGTCTGTATGTGTACGTGTGTCTGTGTTTGTGTATGTATGTGTACGCGTGTCTGTGTTTGTGTCTGTGTCTGTATGTGTATGCGTGTCTATGTCTGTGTCTGTATGTGTATGTGTTTCTGTGTTTGTGTCTGTATGTGTACGTGTGTCTGTGTTTGTGTCTGTATGTGTACGTGCTTCTGTGTTTGTGTCTGTATGTGTACGAGTGTCTGTGTTTGTGTCTGTATGTGTATGTGTACGCGTGTCTGTGTTTGTGTCTGTGTCTGTATGTGTACGCGTGTCTGTGTTTGTGTCTGTGTCTGTATGTGTACGCGTGTCTGTGTTTGTGTCTGTGTCTGTATGTGTATGCATGTCTGTGTTTGTGTCTGTATGTGTATGCGTGTCTGTGTTTGTGTCTGTGTCTGTATGTGTACGCGTGTCTGTGTTTGTGTCTGTGTCTGTATGTGTACGCGTGTCTGTGTTTGTGTCTGTGTCTTTATGTGTACGTGTGTCTGTGTTTTTGTCTGTATCTGTATGTGTACGTGTGTCTGTGTTTTTGTCTGTATCTGTATGTGTACGTGTGTCTGTGTTTTTGTCTGTATCTGTATGTGTACGTGTGTCTGTGTTTTAGTCTGTATCTGTATGTGTACGTGTGTCTGTGTTTGTGTCTGTGTCTGTATGTGTACGTGCTTCTGTGTTTGTGTCTGTATGTGTACGTGTGTGTTTGTGTCTGTGTCTGTATGTGTATGCGTGTCTGTGTTTGTGTCTGTGTCTGTATGTGTACGTGTGTCTGTGTTTGTGTCTGTGTCTGTATTTGTCTGTTTCTGTATGTGTATGCGTGTCTGTGTTTGTGTCTGTGTCTGTATGTGTATGTGTGTCTGTGTTTGTGTCTGTGTCTGTATGTGTACATGTGTCTGTGTTTGTGTCTGTGTCTGTATGTGTATGTGTGTCTGTGTTTGTGTCTGTATGTGTACGTGTGTCTGTGTTTTTTGTCTGTATGTGTATGTGTGTTTGTGTCTGTGTCTGTATGTGTATGCGTGTCGTGTCTGTGTTTGTGTCTGTGTCTGTATGTGTACGTGTGTCTGGGTTTGTGTTTGTGTCTGTATGTGTACGCGTGTCTGTGTTTGTGTCTGTGTATGTATGTGTACATGTTTCTGTGTTTGTGTCTGTGTCTGTATGTGTACGTGTGTATGTGTTTTTGTCTTTGTCTGTATGTGTATGTGTGTCTGTGTTTGTGTCTGTGTCTGTATGTGTATGCGTGTCGTGTCTGTGTTTGTGTCTGTGTCTGTATGTGTACATGTGTCTGTGTTTGTGTTTGTGTCTGTATGTGTACGCGTGTCTGTGTTTGTGTCTGTGTCTGTATGTGTACGCGTGTCTGTGTTTGTGTCTGTTATCTGTATGTGTACGTGTGTCTGTGTTTTTGTCTGTGTCTGTATGTGTACGTGTGTCTGTGCCTGTGTCTGTATGTGTACGTGCTTCTGTGTTTGTGTCTGTTTCTGTATGTGTACGTGCTTCTGTGTTTTTGTCTGTGTCTGTATGTGTACGTGTGTCTGTGTTTGTGTCTGTATGTGTACGTGTGTCTGTGTTTTTGTCTGTGTCTGTATGTGTACGTGTGTCTGTGTTTGTGTATGTATGTGTACGTGTATCTGTGTTTGTGTCTGTGTCTGTATGTGTACGCATGTCTGTGTCTGTATGTGTATGTGTTTCTGTGTTTTTGTCTGTATGTGTACGTGTGTCTGTGTTTGTGTCTGTGTCTGTATGTGTATTTGCTTCTGTGTTTGTGTCTGTATGTGTACGTGTGTCTGTGTTTGTGTATGTATGTGTACGTGTGTCTGTGTTTGTGTCTGTGTCTGTATGTGTACGCGTGTCTGTGTCTGTGTCTGTATGTGTATGTGTGTCTGTGTTTTTGTCTTTGTCTGTATGTGTATGTGTGTCTGTGTTTGTGTCTGTGTCTGTATGTGTATGCGTGTCGTGTCTGTGTTTGTGTCTGTGTCTGTATGTGTACATGTGTCCTGTGTTTGTGTTTGTGTCTGTATGTGTACATGTGTCTGTGTTTGTGTTTGTGTCTGTATGTGTACGCATGTCTGTGTTTGTGTCTGTGTCTGTATGTGTACGCGTGTCTGTGTTTTTGTCTGTATCTGTATGTGTACGTGTGTCTGTGTTTGTGTCTGTGTCTGTATGTGTACTTGTGTCTGTGTTTGTGTCTGTATGTGTACGCGTGTCTGTGTTTGTGTCTGTGTCTGTATGTGTACGTGTGTCTGTGTTTGTGTCTGTATGTGTACGTGTGTCTGTGTTTTTGTCTTTGTCTGTATGTGTATGTGTGTCTGTGTTTGTGTCTGTGTCTGTATGTGTACATGTGTCTGTGTTTGTGTTTGTGTCTGTATGTGTACGCGTGTCTGTGTTTGTGTCTGTGTCTGTATGTGTACGCGTGTCTGTGTTTGTGTCTGTTATCTGTATGTGTACGTGTGTCTGTGTTTTTGTCTGTGTCTGTATGTGTACGTGTTTCTGTGCCTGTGTCTGTATGTGTACGTGCTTCTGTGTTTGTGTCTGTGTCTGTATGTGTACGTGCTTCTGTGTTTGTGTCTGTGTCTGTATGTGTACGTGTGTCTGTGTTTTTGTCTGTGTCTGTATGTGTACGTGTGTCTGTGTTTGTGTCTGTATGTGTACGTGTGTCTGTGTTTTTGTCTGTGTCTGTATGTGTACGTGTGTCTGTGTTTGTGTATGTATGTGTACGTGTGTCTGTGTTTGTGTCCGTGTCTGTATGTGTACGCATGTCTGTGTCTGTGTCTGTATGTGTATGTGTATCTGTGTTTTTGTCTGTATCTGTATGTGTACGTGTGTCTGTGTTTGTGTCTGTGTCTGTATGTGTACGTGCTTCTGTGTTTGTGTCTGTATGTGTACGTGTGTCTGTGTTTGTGTATGTATGTGTACGTGTGTCTGTGTTTGTGTCTGTGTCTGTATGTGTACGCGTGTCTGTGTCTGTATGTGTATATGTTTCTTAGTTTTTGTCTGTATCTGTATGTGTACGTGTGTCTGTGTTTGTGTCTGTGTCTGTATGTGTACGTGTTTCTGTGTCTGTATGTGTATGTGTGTCTGTGTTTGTGTCTGTGTCTGTATGTGTACGCGTGTCTGTGTTTGTGTCTGTGTCTCTATGTGTACGCGTGTCTGTGTTTGTGTCTGTGTCTGTATGTGTACGCGTGTCTGTGTTTGTGTCTGTGTCTGTATGTGTACGCATGTCTGTGTTTGTGTCTGTGTCTGTATGTGTACGCGTGTCTGTGTTTGTGTCTGTGTCTGTATGTGTACGCGTGTCTGTGTTTGTGTCTGTGTCTGTATGTGTACGTGTGTCTGTGTTTTTGTCTGTGTCTGTATGTGTACGTTGGTGTCAGCACGTTTATTTCTATTGTGCTTTCTAAAATTATCCCTGATATTTCTATTGTCTGTTCTCCTTTTGCATTCGTACAGTGTGATACTGTGTGACTCACGACTCTGAGAGACCTATCTACTCTAATGATGCAGCAGTACATTGAGAGGGTTGCTTTCATGATGGAATGAAACGCTGTTCTGTACAAGGACAATGATGCTGTTGCCTTTAGAAAACCCTTCAGAAAAAGGCACAACAATATTTTAGAGCGCAATGTCTGCTATTTTTGAGACCTCAGTCGTTGGCTCATCCCCGTCCTTTTGTCTGTCCCAACAGGAAGCTGCACAGTGAAGGAGAGAAGGGACACGGCTGTGAGTTCTGTGGCAAACGCTTCACAGATAGTGTACGGCTCAGGATGCACATGCTCTCTCACTCAGGTAACACTGCCATACGATGATAATAACAGAGTCAATTCCATTCAGAATACCCCTGATAGGGCTGTACTGTTTTCACATGTACCTGTTCATTATGTCACACGTATATATGTGTTAAAGGATCCCTAGGAAAGAGGCTTCCCCTTCTTGTCTTTCTCCTGTCTGTCTCCTGTCTGTGACTGTCTGTCTCCTGTCTGTCTCCTGTCTGTGACTGTCTGTCTCCTGTCTGTCTGTCTCCTGTCTGTCTCCTGTCTGTGACTGTCTGTGACGGTCTGTCTCCTGTCTGTGACTGTCTCTGCATGTGTCAGATCTTCAGGGTCTCTGTCTTCTCTTTGTCTTCTCTCTGTTGTATCTGTGTGTGTGTGTGTGTGTGTGTGTGTTTTCGGAGAGTATGTCTGGCTCCTCGCCAGCTCTGTCCCTCTGAGTGATGACATCATCAGCTGCCGGCAGGCCTGGGTGTTCTGCCAGTGCTCCGAAGCGTGTGTGATGGCTCGCTCGCAGATGTGTGTCCAGGAACACACTGTACCCAAATGCCGACTTAATCAGTCCTGACTGCTCTCCCAGCCACTTTATCCAAAATAGAGCAGGAGAAGGGGAGGAGAGTAGGCGAGAGAGGGCCTAAAAATGAAACTAAAATATAAACAGAAGCCGCACTGTTAGGAATAATAGACACAACGCTGCTATACCTCCCTGGCTTTCCTCTCCTCTGATCCCTGTAAAAGTGATAGGAGATGACAGACGGCTGACAGATGAGAGGTTCCCTTTCTCCAAACTGTGTTCATAAACTACCTGACCTCCTCACAGTAGACACATTTTAAATCCAGGTGTAGACGCAATGATGAGCTTAGAATTCCATGTTTGGAACTCTGTGATCTGAACAATAGCTGCATCAGGTCTAGACGTACAGTAAGTATTCTGCTAGTTGGCTAATGGATACTATCCTTTACTCATCCTGTCTGCATCGGTATGACCTGATGAGACATAATGGATATAGTGTGTGTAATATAGGCCTGTTACACATCATTTAGATACTTTGATCTTTCATTACAAAATAGATTTCTGAAACCTTCTTTCATCTGATTTGTATTTATACACAAAATATATAGCCTCTGTATTGCACAAAAAGGGAGAGTTTGATCTGATGTCATTGTGTGTTGCCGTATAGCCCATAGCAGCCTTTAGATCCTCTGTCGGTTGCTAAGGCGCCAGTGCTCCACAGCTCTAATGGGCTGATTTGGTATTCAGCTCGATGCTGGCTCGTATTTTGGTATGCCAGACAAAGTGTTTTGATGGAGGACTATTGCAGCCGTGTCTGGAGACAGTTTGATGGTTTATGGATGAGAGCACTCTCCATGCCTTTGACGGCACAAGACAATGCACTATGTTCTCTTCCTCCCTAATCATGCACAGTTTCCCAACATAATACATTGGGCACACTGTCACAGAACATAACAGACTGGACACACTGTCACAGAACATAACACACTGGACACACTGTCACAGAACATAACACACTGGACACACTGGACACACTGTCACAGAACATAACACACTGCACACACTGTCACAGAACATAACACGCTGGGCACACTGTCACAGAACATAACACACTGGACACTGTCACAAAACATAAACACTGGACACACTGTCACAGAACATAACACGCTGGGCACACTGTCACAGAACATAACACACTGGACACTGTCACAAAACATAACACACTGGACACACTGTCACAGAACATAACACACTGGACACACTGTCAAACAACATAACACACTGGACACACTGTCACAAAACATAACACACTGGGTACACTGTCACAGAACATAACACACTGGACACATTGTCACAGAACATAACACACTGGACACACTGTCACAGAACATAACACACTGGACACACTGTCACAAAACAGAACACACTGGACACACTGTCACAGAACATAACACACTGGGCACACTGTCACAAAACATAACACACTGGACACACTGTCACAGAACATAACACACTGGGCACACTGTCACAGAACATAAAATACTGGACACACTGTCACAGAACATAACACACTGGACACACTGTCACAGAACATAACACACTGGACACACTGTCACAGAACAAAACACACTCGACACACCGACACAGAACATAACACACTGGACACACTGTCACAAAACATAACACACTGGGCACACTGTCACAGAACATAACACACTGGGCACACTGTCACAAAACATAACACACTGGACACACTGTCACAGAACATAACACACTGGGCACACTGTCACAGAACATAAAATACTGGACACACTGTCACAGAACATAACACACTGGACACACTGTCACAGAACATAACACACTGGACACACTGTCACAGAACAAAACACACTCGACACACTGTCACAGAACATAACACACTGGACACACTGTCACAAAACATAACACACTGGGCACACTGTCACAGAACATAACATACTGGGCACACTGTCACAGAACATAACACACAGGGCACACTGTCACAGAACATACCACACTGGACACTCTGTCACAAAACATAACACACTGGGCACACTGTCACAGAGCATAACACACTGGACACACTGTCACAGAATATAACATACTGGGCACACTGTCACAGAACATAACACACTGGGCACACTGTCACAGAACATAACACACTGGGCACACTGTCACAAAACATAACACACTGGACACACTGTCACAGAACATAACACACTGGACACACTGTCACAGAACATAACACACTGCACACACTGTCACAGAACATAACACACTGGGCACACTATCACAGAACATAACACACTGGACACTGTCACAAAACATAAACACCGGACACACTGTCACAGAAAATAACACGCTGGGCACACTGTCACAGAACATAACACACTGGACACACTGTCACAAAACATAACACACTGGACACACTGTCACAGAACATAACACACTGGGCAAACTGTCCCAAAACATAACACACTGGACACACTGTCACAGAACATAACACACTGGGCACACTGTCACAGAACATAAAATACTGGACACACTGTCACAGAACATAACACACTGGACACACTGTCACAGAACATAACACACTGGACACACTGTCACAGAACAAAACACACTGGACACACTGTCACAGAACATAACATACTGGGCACACTGTCACAGAACATAACACACTGGGCACACTGTCACAGAACATAACACACTGGGCACACTGTCACAAAACATAACACACTGGACACACTGTCACAGAACATAACACACTGGAACACACTGTCACAGAACATAACACACTGCACACACTGTCACAGAACATAACACGCTGGGAACACTATCACAGAACATAACACACTGGACACTGTCAAAAAACATAAACACCGGGACACACTGTCACAGAACATAACACGCTGGGCACACTGTCACAGAACATAACACACTGGACACTGTCACAAAACATAACACACTGGACACACTGTCACAGAACATAACACACTGGGCACACTGTCACAGAACATAACACACTGGACACACCGTCAAACAACATAACACACTGGACACACTGTCACAAAATATAACACACTGTGTACACTGTCACAGAACATAACACACTGGACACATTGTCACAGAACATAACACACTGGACACACTGTCACAGAACTTAACACACTGGACACACTGTCACAAAACATAACACACTGGACACACTGTCACAGAACATAACACCATGGGCACACTGTCACAAAACATAACACACTGGACACACTGTCACAGAACATAACACACTGGGCACACTGCCACAGAACATAAAATACTGGACACACTGTCACAGACCATAACACACTGGACAAACTGTCACAGAACATAACACACTGAACACACTGTCACAGAACAAAACACACTGGACATACTGTCACAGAACATAACACACTGGACACACTGTCAATAAACATAACACACTGGGCACACTGTCACAGAACATAACATACTGGGCACACTGTCACAGAACATAACACACAGGGCACACTGTCACAGAACATAACACACTGGACACACTGTCACATAACATACCACACTGGACACTCTGTCACAAAACATAACACACTGGGCACACTGTCACGGAGCATAACACACTGGACACACTGTCACAGAACATAACACACTGGGCACACTGTCACAAAACATAACACACTGAACACACTGTCACAAAACATAACACACTGGACACACTGTCACAGAACATAACACACTGGGCACACTGCCACAGAACATAAAATACTAGACACACTGTCACAGAACATAACACACTGGACAAACTGTCACAGAACATAACACACTGAACACACTGTCACAGAACAAAACACACTGGACATACTGTCACAGAACATAACACACTGGACACACTGTCAATAAACATAACACACTGGGCACACTGTCACAGAACATAACATACTGGGCACACTGTCACAGAACATAACACACAGGGCACACTGTCACAGAACATAACACACAGGGCACACTGTCACAAAACAACACACTGGAAAACTGTCACATAACATACCACACTGAACACACTGTAACAGAACATAGCACATTGGACACACTGTCACAGAACATAACACACTGGACACTGTCACAGAACATAACACACTGGACACACTGTCACAGAACATAACACACTGGACACACTGTCACAGAACATAACACACTGGACACACTCTAACAGAACATAACACACTGGACACACTGTCACAGAACATAACACACTGGACACACTGTCACAGAACATAACACACTGGGCACACTGTCACAGAACATAACACACTGGGCACTCTGTCACAGAACATAACACACTGGACACACTGTCACAGAACATAACACACTGGACACACTGTCACAGAACATAACACACTGGGCACACTGTCACATAACATAACACACTGGGCACACTGTCACAGAACATAACACACTGGACACACTGTCACAGAACATAACACACTGGGCA